GCATCGATTATCCGACCCCGATTAACCGTCACTTCGGTTAACCGACCGTTCTAGTCGGCAAATTTCAAATGTCCGCTAGTAATGTGGGACTACAATATTTATCTATGTCTTGGCTACTTTAATATTATTTTCGTTACATTTCTGTGTGTTAGTATTTAAACGAAAATTAATTTTTTAATTATGACTGTTTGTTTTGTTTTGTGAGCAATAAAATAATTTTAAAATAATTTTTAACGATACAATACCGACGATTATTATTTTAAAAAAAATTGTTAGGCTTAACATCGATGAAAATTCAACGCGAAGTTGGTTATTAGCAATATGCTAATATACTAATTACATGGGATATACTAATATGCTAATATACTATACTAATAATGTATTTTTTCACTCTTTTCGGTTATCCGATTTTTTCAGTTATACCTGAGTCCCCAATTGAGTCGGATAATCGATGCTCTACTGTAGTTCCGTGGATATCAGTGTGTTTATTTGTGTGTTTGAGTATGTGTTGTTGTATTCTTCAGTTTAATAACCCAAAATAGGGTAATAATAAACAAACAAAATTTGGCACGATACCTTTTGTGTAAAGAACACTGATGTTATTAAAATTTGGTAATTACAGATCGAGAAATAAAAGAGGATAATCTGTCATATCGCGAAAAAGTTTTGACCTAATTAAGATGTTATTCGTTATTAAAATTTTTTATGAAAGTCGTCATTATTTTAACATTAAGCATTTCTCCATTTTATAATAATTTAAAATGCATTTTGCAAACAGGAAAAACATTTTAAATTAAAAAATAAAGAATAAACAAACATAAACAGAAAAAGCATTTTAAATGCTTTTCCTGTTTATGTTTGTTTATTATTTATTTTTTAATTTATGTTTTTTATTTATTATTTAATTATTTATTATTATTATTTATTTTTTATTTATTATTTAATTTATGTTTGTTTATTATTAAAAAGGAAAAGCATTGAAATGCTTTTCCTTCTTAATAATAAAGAAACATAAATTAGAATTTAAATTTAAAAAATAACACATAAAAAATTTACTTTTCTTAAATATAGGTAAAATAATTTCTTTACATTCTAGTTATTAATAAAGCACTAACTTAAGCTCAAAAAATTAATTTACGAGTTTTAAGAATCAAACAAGAAATAACGATTACATACCGCAGATGTCAAATGAGAGAGGGCCCAGCAGCAAGTAATTAATCCAAACAGAAGTAACAACGATACTGTTGTAAAAACAATTCTGATGGTCGCGTATAATTTCACAAATAATGTTGCGTACCAAACGAAAGAAGTCGCGTACAGAAAACAGGTGTAAAGAAAGGGCATAAAAACATCCCATTCTTCGTTAATCATTCTCCAATATTCCCAAAGTTCAACTTGATTTTGCAACATTTCCTGTAATATGTTCTGTAGAAAAAGTTCCTTAGCAGTTATTTCCGTTATTTCTTCGGACAGCATCAAATATCTTTTCTGCATTATGAATACAACAGCTGAACATATACAAACGAAATATAGGATATGACCCGCAGCATACATTGCCCATAAAGCGTGGATAATAGACACAAGAAATGCCTCTGTGTCCGTTCCGTTTTGTTTCTTTATTTCTGCGAAAAATGTAATTCCGGACATGACAGTAATCGCGATAAATAAGATAAATGACAGACATAACAAACGCAATGAGTACTTCTCTATGGTGTCGGTTATTTTCCATTCTTCTGGGTAACTGCAGGCGATGCAGTGAAAGTGGATTTTTCGTCGTTTCAGTATACTGAACTGCATAGCAAGGTAAAATGAGTAAAATACAGATACTACTGATGCTTCAAATGCGTAATCTCCATACATTTTTCCAACTCTTACAAAGTAAAGGTTGATATTGTACATTCTTACGAGAAAAGCGCAAAACATCATCCAGAGAAATACTTCTACGAATGAAGTGTACAACTTAAATAATATTGGTCGTAAATAAGCTTTTGTTGTTCTGTTTCCTTTTACGCATGGACACGGATTCCAATACAATAGACCAAATACCTTTGCCGAATTAAGAATTGGAGCCAACATGTACCCCATGCAACGTTGTTTCTCTGTAAATGATGGCATTTTTTACTTGAATAAAGAGAATTGTCTTGAGTCTACCGATTTTCAGTCTTGTTTTCGGACAACATATTACTTAGTTCGTATAAAATTAGAATGTTTTGTTATGGCATGTTGCTATGGTCACAAATTGATCTCTCTATAATGTTCATTAGAATCGTTAAGTGGAACTGGTTATCAATAATTCCCAAATACGAAGTACGTAATTACTAATTAGTTTTTGTGTGTGCAGTGTTATGTTTATATACTTGAGTGTATTACGGTATCCATTATGGTAATTAAAAACTAATTTCTAAAAAGGAAGTTAAGTTGAAAGTATAACTTATGAGTGATTAGCTTTTAGAAATTTACTTGGATAACAAATGTATTTTAAATCAGAGATAAATTAATGTATTGATTTTATTTTACATTATCTACAATGTTTAAGAAGTAGAAATTAGTGATGTAACGAATATTCGGTTACTATTCGGTATTCGGCCTATTCGGCCTATTTTTCACTATTCGGCCGAATACCGAATACATAAAAGCAGGAGTAATAAATAACAAAAGCCCAGTAATTTAATAATTTTGTTATTTAGATTTAATGTTATCGAGTTAGTGTTGTTTGTTTATATTTATTTATAACTTGTAACATGCACAAAATAAAAAAATAATAATATTAGTCACATGTATTCACTATTTATAATTACAAAGATCAGCACACGTACACGTCTACAGTTGGAGAATCCTCGCACATCTGGGGGTCTGACCCTGCCTATCCTTCTTTTTAAGCGCTCGTCTTTGCTCTTCTCTTTCTCTTTCCTCTATCGCTGTAATCCACGTATGCCTTTGCATACATCATAATACGCGCTCACGATACTTTCGATTCGTCACTTTTCCGTCGTAGAGTTCCCATTTTACAATTACGTGACTCAGCCTGGTGATAACGGAG